GTTCGGCACCCTGGTGCTAGCTCTACAGGGCTCAGCAGCAGACTGGCTCCAGGTGGGCTCTGCTCCTCTTACCTGGGACTAGCTTTGCAGTCACTGACGTGGGTTCCACTTCCCCTCTCTTGACCCTTGGTGAGCTGGATTTAAATGAGCTGGGGTTGGGCCTGGGCATTAGTATTTTTTAACTTTCTGGGTGATTCTGATGTCCATCCAGAGAGGTGCCTAGCATCCCCTTCCAGCTCTGACAATGCATGGAAATAGTTATTACATGCTGGGGTACGAGCACCAGTGCTGATAATATGCGTATCATATAATGCTGAAATCAGTATTTTTATTTGACAAAAAGGTATTTAAAAAATGTAAAACAGGAAACCCAAATATTTAATAATTTTAAATATAAAAATGCTTTAGAATACCAATAAAGGTTGACTTAGAAAAATACACATTCTCATTCTGGTCTATGTAGGCAGATAAAATAAACAAAAATGAAATATTCAAAACATTAAAACCTATCCACCTCAAAAACTCAAAATTCAGTCATGGAAAGTTCAAGAAGGGATACTATTTGATCCCTTTAAAGCAGAAATTCAAAATCAAAGGATGTTGGCAATATCATTATGTCACAAGTATGTTTTTTTCCCTGTAAAATTTTCTAGAAAAAGCTTTTCCTGACTCTACCCTAGTTGGGGAATAGTGAGAAGATATATTTGTGTGATATCTTCGAATATTTTCCGCTGACAAGGTCTTTTGGCTTTTTTTCAGAGACTGCCATCTTTTATTTATAAGGAGCCACAATTTTTGTTTCTAAAGCATTTCCGATTTGCCTTTAAGTTCTTTGGTTTTATCTTGTTCAGATGGAGACTCTGATGCACACTTCCTGTATCAGTTTCAAAGCTGTCATGTTGATATCCCACATGTTAGGAAAGTCTGTGAATAGAGTGATAATTATTCTTGCAACAGAGTTTTGCTTTGTCTATAGGCATGCAATGCCTGAGAAGGACTCAAAAGCCATATTTCACATTTCAGGGTTTTTTTCTGACATTGTTATTCTCTCCTTTTCAAAGCATATACAAAGATTGAGAGATTAGTATGATTAGTTTCCATGCCTGGCTCCAGCAATTACCAACTCATGGCCAACGTTTTTCATCTATACTCTTACACAGTCCTCTGGATCCCTACCAGATTCTGTTACAGCCAGTCTGAGACATCATATCATTTTATCTGCAATTACTTCAGTATACATCTCCAAAGGAAAATGGCCCAATAAAACACATAACCACAGTGTTATTACTGTACCTTAAGAATTGAGAATTCCTCATTATCATAAAAAAGTAAATGTTCACATTTTCCCAGTTGTCTCCTACATTTTGTTTTACAATTAGTTTGTTTGAGATTTCTGACGTTTAAACTTTTGAAATAAATATCTTTGGACCGAACAGATACACAATTTTGGCACCGAAGTGCAGTTTTCGTGAACACAGCATGGCAACCACTGGGTAGAAGATGCCAGACAACCGGGCCAGATCCTGCCTCTAGGGCTCAGAGTGCAGTGGACAGCAGAAGTCATTCAGTGGCTCAGCAAACATTCATTCACTGAACAGGAACACTGAACAGTGTTCCTGGGCTGGGCACCACGGGCACAGCAATGACCAAGACAAGCTCAGTCTGTCTTGACCCGATGGAAACCAGGACACTGGCATCTAATTGAAGTTTGCAAATGAAATGATAGATACCCTTGTACTGGAATCCAGAAGAGAGTGGAAGCTAATTTTGCCCTAGAAAACATTATAGAGCAAGTGACATTTGCGTTTAGCCGTAAGAAAAGGAAGAATTTTGTCAAGAAGACAGGATTACATGCCTGTAATCCCAGCACTTTTGGAGGTCAAGGTGGGAGAGTCACTTGAGCCCAGGAGTTCAAGACCAGCCTGGGAAACATAGCAAGACCCCATTTCTACAAAAAAAAAATAAAATAAAATAACGTAAAATAAAAAATAAAACTAGCCAGGGCCAGGTGTGGTGGCTCATGTCTGTAATCCCAGCGCTTTGGGAGGCCGAGACAGGCAGATCAGCTGAGATCAGGAGTTCGAGACCAGCCTGACCAACCATGGCTAACATGGTGAAACCCCATCTCTACTAAAAATACAAAAATCAGCTGGGCACGGTGGTGGGCACCTGTAACCCCAGTTACTCGGGAGGCTAAGGAGAATCGCTTGAACCCAGGAGGCAGAGGTTGCAGTGAGCCGAGATCGCACCACTGCACTCCAGCCTAGGTGACAGAGTGAGACTCCGTCTCAATAAAACAAAAAATAAAAAACAACAAAAACCTAGCCAGGCATTGTGGCATGTGCCTGCGGTCCAAGCTACTCAGGAGAGAGGCTATGGTGAGAGGATCATCTCAGCCTAGGAGGTGGAGGCTGTAGTGAGCTGTGTTTGCACCATTGCACTCCAGGCCAGGTGACAGAGTGAGACCTGGAAGAAGGAGAAGGAGAAGGAGAAGGAAGAAGGAGGGGAAGGGGAAGAGAAAGGGGAAGGGGAAGGGGAAGAATTTCATCAAGAAGAGATGGAGGAACAGATGTCTCATCCAGTGCAAGTAGCAAGCACAAAGAGCACATGGGGGTGGGAAGTTCCTGGTGCACTAAGGACTGAAATGAGAGGTGGGCGGGTATATGGCAAGGCCGGTGGGAGGTGGGACTCAGGGACTGTGGAGGGCTTGAGGATATGCTAAGGAGTGGGGTTTCCAGGGCCTACTGCTGGGGACTGCACTATTTTCTTGTTTGAACATAAAGTGTGGACCATGGGGCAGGAGAACAGAACCCTGCAGGAACAATGAGAAGGATTTGGATTTCCAAGCCCTTCCCGGAGCCCTCTGTCCATTAGGCTAAGAGTCTACCTGGATCTCCATGAGTCTCCAGGGATAACACAGAGGCTGGCACACAGTGAGTGCTCAATATAGGCCTACTAACAGATGGCCTCTGCCATTGCTCCCAGTGAGAGTGCTCCCACCGGCCTCCACCTTCACACAGGGTGGTGAGGGAGGGACCCTCGTCTTTATGCCTTTGGCTCAGGGAAATGGGGTGGCTTTTCCAAATGCATGAGCTGTTAGGCTTTCGGACTTGGTCCCCAGCTTCCCTGAATGGCCAGTGGTGCTTCTGGGCCAGCAGGCAGGATGGGAGCACATAGAGTAAGGCTCACCTGTGACCTTCTCAGGTGGGTGTACAAGCAAATGCCAGCATTTGCAAACCATGGGCTGGCTGACACAATTAATCCCTTTAAGACTGGCCAAGAGTTAGAGGAGTCATTCATTTATTTTCTTCTAATAGCAATGGCTTAAAAGAAAGAAAGAGAAAGAAAAAGAAAAAAGAATTCACATGCTCATTGTCAGCAAATGAGTTCCTGTTGTTACAGAAACGGAGAAAGAGTAAAGCAAATCCCTAGATTTTCTGATCTACCACTACCATCTAGAGAGAGCCACAGTGAACAGCCTTCGAAATCTTCTTCTGTTCATAAATACGAAGCAGTTAAATGTAACACCATTTTATATAGACAGTATTACGGGATTTAGGCTGTTCTATAACCTGCTTTTTTTCCTTTAACAACTTGTCATGACACCGTTTCCTGTCAGTTACCACAGATCTGTGCCATTTTTAATAGCCCCACGGTAGAGTTTTGCATGGATGTGCTGTAAGTTACCCAGCCAGTTCTCTGTTGCCAGAAATGTGGATTGTTTTCCGTTTTTCTCTGCAATGTGCTAGGGAATATCATTCAGCTTTTTCAGATGTGTAATAATCGCCTAGCAGTAAATATTTAGAATAGCTGGGATAGCTAGGGCTGAAAAAAAAAAAGAAGAAGAAGGAAGAAAAAAGGCTCAGTACACTCAGAGTCCTAAGCCAAGCTGGGAGGTCACCATGGCAACCCCCTGCCATCCTCACACAGGGATCGCCCCTTTGCCATGGCTCCAGGCAGAGAGGTGGGTCAGAGCTGGAGGAGAAACAGTCTGTTTTCCGCAGTTTTATAAACCAAGGGCAGAAGGCACAGGAGAGAGCATTAATGCAGACCTGAGACAGCTTACAATGCAATGGTGATAATAGCCCTTTATTGAGTCCTTGTCATCTGGTAGATACCATGGTTTTTCATCCTCACCGGAGCCGTTGAAACTTTTATGATGCTCATTTAAGTGATTAGAAACTCAGAGACTAAGGAATCTGTCCAAGGGCACACAGTAAATGATGGAGCCAGGGTTTGAAATTGGTCTGCATTCACTCCTCAGCATTCTCCTGGCCACCACAATTGGGGTGGCCAGCCTCTGTCTCATCACCATCCCTGAGGCTCAGGTCCTCTTTTCCCAGTCCCCCTAGAGCATTCATTCCCACCTCATTCATATGCAGCTCACACCAATTCTTCATCTGGCCTCTGTTTTCTGGGCTCCACTCTGGCCTCCTGCTACTCCATACCCTGTATACTTCCGCGCTGAACTACAGACAGGACCTCGAATGGCACACCTTCTTCCTACCTCCATGGCCCTCTCCTGCTGTACCCTCAACTCTACCCCATAACTGTGGCACTCCTGTTGACTCTTCAAGACTGATCCCAAGCTTTCTTTCCTTTTTTTTTTTTTTTTTTTCCCCCTGAGGTAGAGTCTTGCTCTGTCGCCCAGGCTGGAGTACAGTGGGGCGATCTTGGCTCATTGCAATCTCTGCCTCCCAGGCTCAAGTGATTCTCCTGCTTCAGCCTCCCAAGTAGCTGGGAGTACAGGTGCCCACCACCATGCCCGGCTAATTTTTGTATTTTTAGTAGAGATGGGGTTTCGCCATGTTGGCCAGGCTGGCCTCGAACTCCTGACCTCAGGTGATCCACCCGCCTCAGCCTCCCAAAGTGCTGGGATTACAGGCGTGAGCCACCGCACCCGGCCCCGAGTTTCATTACTTCAAGAAGTCTCCCCTGACTCCCTAACATAACGCTCTCCTCTGTGTTCCCCTAGAGGCATAACCACTATTTTTTAAGCACTGTCTATCTCCAGGCAGCTGCATTGCCCTTATAAGTCAGGCGGCCACAGCACGCTGGAATGTTTGTTTCTCTGGAAGAGGGAATGAGCAGCCACCTGGCAATGCAGCCAGATGCATAGTGAGTCTGCAGTAGCCACTGCTTTACTATTAGATATGCCGTGTGGCAATTGTTAGTGCAGATCTACACTAGAATGTGAGCTCTTATGGGTTAGAACTGTTGTGTCTGTTTCTTCATCCCCATATCTTTCCTACTATAGCTTTGGATATAGTAGGTATTCAGGAAATATGTGCTGAAAGAATGAATGAATGAATGAATGATCAAGCATATTCCTGCCCGCTCTCCATTTCCGCTACCAGCCCCAGGGCAGGTACGAACTCGGACTCCATTAACCCAGGCAGCCTACCAAGTTCCCTGCCTGTCACCTGGCTGGTTCCTGACCACTCCCCAAACACCTGACCCCTCCTGTCTCCTTAAGCCTTGTCTACCTCTCCTCCCACCACAGTTTCTACTCACAGCCATCTGCCCGGGAAACTAAGGTTCTGGGTGAACCCTTATCATCGCCTCTACCACATCATCCCATGAACCTACTCTTTCTTATCCCTTCGGCTCCCCTATCTGTATTCCTCTCCTTGGTGGGACCTCAAGTATTCCCTGGGCTTTGAAAGTCACTTTTCTCTCCCTCTGAAATTTATCTGCAGCCTCAACTTCTCCTCCAAGATGCAGTCACGTATTTTTTTAACTGCAAATACGTGCAAATCAAATTCAACTTGTCTGAAAACTGTCCTGGTTTTCCTCACTTTCTTCATCATTTCCCATTTGATATCATAATTTTCCAGCACCTGGGGAAATGGTGCTCCAGAGACCCCAGCCAAATTTGTCTGTCTGCTTCTCTGTGATCAGACACCTGACTTTTATCACCAGGGCCCCAAACTCCCCAAAGCTCCCAGCCAAGCCTGGCAGGAGTAGTGAGGCCTCAGCAAACCTAAGGATGACTACCCATGTGAAGGAGCTGTGTCTCCTGGGCTGCAGCCTGTTCTTTCCATGTGCAAATTCAGTCCAGGGCTGTAGATCTTCAGATTTATCAAAAGGAACTGGGAGCGAGGTTTTTATGTTGACAGCTCTTGGTCTTTTAATATTGGCTTCTTTTTTTTTTTTTTTTTTGAGAGGCAGTCTCACTCTGTTGCACAGTCTGGAGTGCAATGGCATAATCTTGGCTCACTGCAACCTCCGCCTCCCAGGTTCAAGCAATTCTCCCTGCCTCAGCCTCCTGAATAGCTGGGATTACAGGTGCCCGCCACCACATCCGGCTAATTTTTGTATTTTTAGTAGAGACAGGGCTTTCCTTGTTGACCAGGCTGGTCTCAAATTCCTGACCTCAGGTGATCTGCCTGCCTCGGCCTCCCAAAGTGCTGGGATTACAGGCATGAGCTACCGCACCTGGCCTTTTGTTTTCTTAATAGACTTTATGTTTTAGAGCAGATGTAGGTTTATAGAAGAACTGTGCATAAAGTAGTTTCCATTCCCTCCCTCCCCACTCCCCTGTTATTAACATCTTGCATTAGTGTAGTATGTTTGTTAAAACTGATGAACCAACATGGATGCATTGTTATTAACTATTGTCCCTCCTTTACATTAGGGCTTACGCTTTATGTTGTGCATTCTATGGACTTTAACAAATGCTTAATGTCATGTTTCCACCATTGCAGTATCACGCTGGGTTTTTTTTTTTAGACAAGGTGTCGCTCTGTTGCCTGGGCTTGAGTGCAGTGGCAGTAACATGGCTCACTCGACCATGTTATTCGACCTCAGGCTCAAGTGATTCTCCTGCCTCAGCCTCCCTAGTAGCTGGGGCTACAGGCATGCACCACCACACTTGGCTAATTTCTTTATTATTATTATTATTATCATTATTATTATTATTGTTGTTGCAGAGATGGAGTCTCACTATGTTGCCCAGGCTGGTCTTGAACTCCTGGACTCAAGTGATCTTCCCGCCTCAGCCTCCTAAAGTGCTTACGGGTGTGAGCCACTGTGCCCAACCCATGCGGATTATTTTTTAAACACTTTAGGCGTCAGAAGTCTCTGCTTTCTACACTCTTTCATCCTAGTGTGCCCCTCCTTCTCATCGTATCTACCCCACAGTATTCAGCTCTTTCCCCCTCTCTCCACTCCTTAGAGTTTCCTGTCCTTACACACAGTCAGCTTTTCATTTGTGTCATCTTTCTACCAAACTCTAAGCTCCTGGAGGCACTTGGAGGTTTAATTTAGAAGTCTCAGTCTCCCCAGTGCCTAGGGTGCTTTTGAGATTCACTAACATTCACCTGCAGGCATATTGAGCAAATGCCTGCAGATGCGTTGGCTCTGAGGCTTCCAGGAAGATGCTTTAGGGCCCGTTGACAACAGAGAAAGTGGGAGCATGTGGCAAGGGATGAAGACTTGGGCACATCTCCAGTGGCAGTGGCTGCAGGGAGGAGAGAGGAGGTGTTCCAGCAAGAATAGTTTGAGAGAGAGGAGAGGTGAGGACAAACGGCTTTGAGTGGGAGGACGCTTGAATCCTTGGGAGCTGCCCCGTAGAATGCCCAAGTTGGGATCACAGCCTCCCAGGGCTCCCCCTCTCCTGGGAGAAACACTGAGGTCAGAGAGGGGAGGGGAGTTTATCCAAAGCCCCAAAGCAAGTTTGCGGCAAGCAAGCTCAGAACCCAGAGCTCTCTCTGCCTCTTGCAGCCTTCCTGGATGGAGACAGTCCTCCATCACCCCCACCTTCTTGATGAATGGCCTGTAAGAAGGGGGTGCCCAGTGTGGGGCCAAGGTTTTCTCCCCAAGCAGAGCAGAGAGAAAGCCCAGGATATGGCCGGCAAGCCGTGTGGGGCAGGACAGGGAGGCGGTGAAAGGGATGGGGTGGGGCCACGTACTCCACCTTCCCCTTCCCCTGCCTCTCCCCAGCAGCAGCCTCCTTCGGGAAAGAGTTTGAGAAGGAAAACAAAGGCAAAACCCCTCCTCCTTAGTGGGGCTGTCCTCCCAGTCTCCCCAGGCAGCCTGGGTTCTCTCCCACCCACAACTCACCCAGCGCTGCCCTAAGTAGCCAGAAGAGGAAACATACATTCCGGTCGGCTAAAGGGACCCCAAGGGGTGAGTGGCTGTTCCCGTGACATGCCCCCCACAGTCACACCTCTGTGCCTTTGCTCAAGCTCTCCCTTCTGCCAGCGTGCCCTCTCCCTTCCTGAGCTGACAGATTCTTCATGCTCTCCTATGCTCCATTCACACGCCATCTCCTCTGTAAAGTGACCCTAAGCCTGCTTCCCCCACACGTGAAGGTTTCCTTGCCCGGATGCCTCCATAGCACTTTTGTCTCCACCATCCACACAGCGTCTAGCACATGGGCTCACAAGTTTGTGTGTCTCCCCTGTTCTGCAGGGAGCTCCCCCAAGGCCCAGGCTGTGTTTATTCCTCTGTGTCCCCAGCTGTCAGCAGAGCACCTGCCACAGAGCTGATGCACCACATGGAGGAGTGGATGAGTGGACGGACAGATGGATGAATAGCCAGTCTCTGAGTAGAACAGTCAACATGTTCCATTGAGTCTCTTATTTTTTTTTAGACGGAGTCTCGCTCTGTTGCCCAGGCTGGAGTACAGTGGTATGCTCTCTGGCTCACTGCAACCTTCACCTTCTGGAGTCAAGTGATTCTCCTGCCACAGCCTCCCAAATAGTTGGGATTACAGGCTCCTGCCACCACACCCAGCTAATTTTTTTGTATTTTTAGTAGAGACAGGATATCACCATGTTGGCCAGGCTGGTCTCAAATTCCTGACCTCTGGTGATCCGCCAGCCTCAGCCTCCTAAAATGCTGGGATTACAGGTGTGAGTTACCTCACCTGGCCTAATTTTTGTATTTTTAATAGAGACAGGGTTTCACCATGTGGGCCAGGCTCGAACTCCTGGCCTCAGGTGATCTGCACCTTGGCCTCCCAAAATGCTGGGATTATAGGTGTGAGCCACTGTGCCCAGCCAAGCCTCTTCTTCTATAATGAAAATAGATCTAGGTCCTGTCTTTCAGGAATCTAAATTGTGGCTACCAAAACGATAACACTTAAAATAATCAGAGAATGATATAAATCAAGCTAATAATAATAATGATCTTTGATTGAACTGTTTGCTGCCAGCCACGCTCTATGCAAAGAACCTTATGTACATTATTTCATTTCATCTTTATGCAGTTTATAAGCTAAGGACAGAGAGGCTGAGAAAGCTAAGAGCAAGGCTGAGAAAGTTAAGCAACATGTTCAAGGCACCAGTCAGTGAGTAGAGAAGCCAGGTCTGAAACCCAGACCAGTGTGACCCTGAAGTCTGGTCTCAGCCACTTCCCTACAGCTAGAGGGTTCAGGGAGGAGGAGAGCAGCAGGAGAGGAGTCTCTGGAGCCTGTGTCCCTCCTGGAGGAGGCCGACTGTGGGCTGGGCCTGAAAGGCTGCCAGGGAACTGGCCAGCTAGAGGGTATGGGAGGCTTGGGGGTAGGCCTACAGCCTGGCCAGCCTGGAAAGACTCCCAGGGAGTTGCACGGGATGGGAGTGGGGGTGGCCCTTATCCCAGCCTCACCTGAGTGGCCCACAGTGACATGGATGGCAACCCTTCCTTAGGGCCCTGCCGGGTTCCTGTTGCCTCTCCCTCTGTCACCCCTCCCTCTGGGTCTGCAGAGGAGAACCAGGCCCATTGCTTCCGGTGTGGCCTGGTTGCCTTGGGTGCGGACTTTACCCAAGTTGGAGGGCAAGGCCAGTGCAGCCTGTAGAGCCACTTCTCCCTGGATCACACCTGCTGAGGGAATGCCTCTCCCAGCCACCAGACCAGTTTCCAGTTTCCAGGGTGGGGCAGCCAGGCAGAAACAGGTTTCTGTGAAGTGACACTCCCTTCATTCACCGACTGGTAGCATGACTCTGTCCCACCACTTGGAGCCATGCCAACAAATCCTGCCCTGGATTGGGGATTCCGTCTGGACGCCAGGTTACCCTGGGAATGTGGCTTTGCCCTTGTTCACCAGGCACTGCAGGGGCTGATGGTTCTGAACCTTTCCTGGCTCACAGATGTCACTGAAACATTGTTGAAAGCCAGGGCCCCTGTCCCCAGTGACAGACACAC